AAAGGAAGGGGTGAGAAGCCCTGGAAAAAAAAAAAAAGGGGAGGGGAGGGGACACCTCAATTACCTGTGCTCCCTCTGACCCCTCTCTCCCTCTGTCTCCCTCCACGGACAGACGCACTGTCTGAGAGGCGGGGCGCGTTTCCACAGGCAGATGCACATCCCCCTCCTTTGTTCCAGATAGAATTTGCTTCTCTTCCCCCCCCCCCGAACTGCAGAAACTTAATTGCAACAACCCTCCCCTCTAAAGCCTTTCTCCTTTTTTTGCGTTACTGTCAAAAAATTTGAATCTTCTTGTAAATAGGGAAAAAAAAAAATCTATTTCTTTCCTGTTGTTTATCTATGTTTGATCAAGGAACCTGGTCAGGTGATACTAGATTAAAGATGTACAACAAAATAAAAAAATAAAAAACATTTACCTGAACTGAGCAGTTCTCTCAAACATATTCAGCAGGTTACATGCAGCTGTCATAGTTTATTTTGGAGCTCCTGCTTGGGCTGATACAGTAAGTGACAGAGACTGGTGTAAAATCAATACTTCACAGGAGTGTGATGTCTTAATAAACTCTCTGTGTTGTTCAGACAGGAAAGCCAGACGTGTACGAGAAGGACTACCGCGCGGGGCATTGTGAAGCTGTCAAGCTCGGCCCTCAAAAGCAGATGAAGCTGTCAGATTATTAATATATTTATACTGACAGGCCCCACGTCCACCCCTGAAACCCTCCCCTCTTTCAATGTCTCACAAAAAATATGCTCAGCTTCAAAGACAGAGGCCACGGGGTCGGATGCAAGGTCGAAGGCCAAATACATTTTGAAAGCAAATTCTCTTCCTTTTGCAACCTGTTTTTATTGCTGTCGCTCCCCTTCTCCGCGGCGACTATTCAGATGAAACTTAGGCTGAATTGGCAGCAGCTTTCAAAGCGCTTGGCAGCCCGGTGATCCTCGGGAGCTCTCGGCTGACATCTCCCCGGGCTCGTCTATGCTCAGGGGTCAGCCCGAGCCCTGACTCCCAGGACCCGCTCACTCAGGCGCTACCACGAGTCAGTCCCACAGACCGAAATTAAAATGTGAAAAGCGGCGCGACTGAAGGCATTCCTCGCCCCCCATGGCATTCTCCTTTCTCCGTGACGGTTCCTCCGAGACTGCTTTTTCTTTCATGTTTCTTTTTTTCCCCCCCCTTTAGATTATTTAACAACATGCGAACAGAGCTGTCAAGAGGAGACGTGCTTGATCGACAGAGCAAGGGAGTGTCTCAGTCAACACGGGGTTAAATTCGATTTTCTGCATGTTCTGTACGCTGGTCTCAAGCGAGTTATTGCCTTGGCTTGATGTTTTTTGATGGATCAATTATCCATTATAACATGTTGCGAAGGCAAACATAACGGCAACTCTGACACCTGTCACAATCTTCTATTAGGGTGCGGAAATTGAAATAATTTAATGACAGCTAATTTACTCTTTGTTTTGAATCTCATTATGGCCCCAGTAATTGTGTTCCATAAAAAACCCACTGAAAGTGAAATGTGACTGCACACTCAAGGTAAAGTCCCCCCGACTGGAGCTATTAATTTTATATCTCTCAATGAAAGCAGAAGATAAATAATGAATACATTTTACATTATCAGATTCAGACGAACACAAGTTTGAAAAGACTATGAGATCGTGGAGATTTATTTTCTACTTTAATGCCCAGTTTAGATTAAGCTAAAGTCTGAGATAACACTCTCGAAAAACAGGGGCACGAAAACACAACGCGTTCTTAATATCAATCACTTATACAAAGAATTGCGAGAATATAGAATATTTATCAAAACGAGGAAAAAAATGTGGAATAAACATTTTATTATCGTTAAAAATGAAAAATATCTGCGACATTACATAAAATGTACAGTTTGTCCGTCCAACGTTCTAAAATGTTGATGAGAATTTACAATTACCTCCACGTCATATTTAGCTCCGCGCCACGCAATGAGTGAAATATATCACTTCGGATGGGGACAAAGGCGCAGGGGGCTGAATAGATAGTGACATGCTTGTCAACAACACGTATGTGAGAAAGCTGCGTGGGAGCGTCTTATCGGTACATGTGTGCATATACTTGAATTTGCAAGTAAAGAGCCTTATTGGGATTACCCACGGTACATTCTATTTGGTATCATAAAGGGAAAAGGGACTAGATGTGTCTCCCTTTTTTTTTTCAGGGATTCGGTAAGCTCTCAGTCAATGGCGTGGAGCTGAATTGCCCCGGATAGCTCCCCTCATTCCATGGAATGATCTCAGACCTAATTTACTGGGCAGCTCAGGATCCAAAGCATACAAGGTCTCCTCTGCATAGAATGTGTGAAATAGATAGAGCAGCCATCCCTCAGATGTGCTGAAGTAATCTTCAGCCAGAGCTGGTCCAGCAGGCCTCACCCCTAAAGGGATTGATGCAGTGTCAAAACCTTTGGCTCAGGGGTCATCCTCTCTTCTTGCCTCTCCAATCCGACAAAAGCTGAATTTCTTTCCCTCACTATTCGTTTCTCCTTTTTTTTTTCCTTCTATTGAATTCATCAGCGAGGAAGGGCATGAGATGAGAGATGTGAATGAAACATTTTCATTAGGAGGGAGGAGAATCCAAGGCCGGAGCCGATCTGAGCCAATGACATCCCCACCGATTCTTTCCTTTTTTCTTTTTCTTTTTTTTTTTTTCCTTCGCCCTGCTCACTTTACCCAGCTGTCATTCTCTGCGGTGTGTCGTGCCGGCTGATTGAAATCAGCACTGTGTCAGGGCCGTCATATCTCGGGGAGACATAAAACATGCAGAAACATCAATAAGCAACAGGCCGCTGACAGCTTTCAGGAGCCGGTGGTGGCGAGGAGAGGCGAGGGGAAGGTTAGGGCTCTGGGGGGGATGCTGTGCAGTTGAAGTGTCTTCTTCAGGCTTCACCGAGACCCAGGGAAGACAAGATAAAGTCTACCAGGTTATCGCCCTGGTTCAAGTTGCTTCTCGGACAGCGAGGCCACTGGGACGCTGGATGTCGGAAGATGTGTGCGTGCGTGTGCATGTGTGTGTTTGCAGGTGTACGGTATGTGGGGGGGGACAGGACTGAGGGATGTGTTGCTTCTGACTGTACATCTAGTGCACCGCACGATGCGCCTTGTGTCTGTCGTGCACTTGATTACCTGTATGCGCTCAAGCTGTCGAATAAATATTTAAAACGATATTTTTGGGGGAATAAATATGAAAATATTTTTATAAAAAACTTTGCAGAAGGGCCTTTTTTTGTCTCCTGACGTGAGCTCGGTAACTAGTTATACCTGGTAGCGAGGGCCAAGATGTGCTCTGGGATTTTCAGTGTGTATTTAATTCACTAATGGGAGGTAAAGGTGATAGTCTGTCAGATCGCAGCCTGAACCTGCCTCTTACCACCGCTAATTAGGCAAGTTTTCTCGCCCAGAGGAAACTGCTGAATCTGTTCTTTCTAATGCCTGATAATGGTCATCGCGGATCCCTAACCTACCTGTTTGGAATCATGATACGGTACAAATAATCAGCTTCACAGGATCCTGACTTTGACGAGGTATTTTCAGCAGTAATTAGCAGGGCATGTGAAGGCAGCGGAATTTGGGCTAAAGTTTAAGTTTCCCCCCAAAGTTGAAGCCTATTATTTTTTGTGTTGATGGGTTAACGTTGTGGACAGGCGCCCATCTACATATCAAATGTGACTCCCATTATTTTATGTTTCACTCTGCTAACGGCGCCTCCCGGCACTCCTCCGTGTTCTCCTCCATCTGCCTCCTGTCCATTGATCAGCCTTCCGGGGCATCAGTCTGTTTAGCATCTGCTGCAAGTTCTAGCTCAGCTCAGGTAACTATCTCGCTGCTCTCCACTGCCTATTGATCTTCATGTCCACCTGCAAGAACATCTGTTTCGGCATGTCTTTTGTCAACGCAACCAGCTACCTTGTTTCGCTTCCCGTCTTGTCCACTTTCACTCACTCCCACAGTGTTTGCATTGTTCTAATAATTCCTTTTAAATTAGTCACTCGAGAGTATTTTATCGAGGCAAATAGTGGGGCTAGTACGTGTAATGAAGAAAAATATTTCCTCCGAGTACAACTAAATATAGATTTAGAATTTATTTAACAAAAATCTATATTTGATAACAATTTATTTTATTGACCAAGACTTATTTGGAGAAGCTGCCTAAGCTACTGAATCTACAAAGTTTACTAACTTCACACAACATTTACCCTTTCTGTATATATTATATTTGTTTATTTTGCTGTTAAATGTACCATAAAATATCAATTAAAATTAGCAGTAGGTAGGCAGTTTACATTAGAAATCATTAGAAGACAGCAGCCCATGTTTTATTTAATGCTTTAACATAATACTGAGCTGAAGTGTGTGAGTCCCGGGCTGAGAAGAGCCTGCTCCTCTCTGTGCTTCACAGGCTTTCTAGAGCTCGGAGGAACTGCTGCTGCACGCCTTAATTTACTCTTTTGTAATGATGGGGCGTAGGTTAGTTAATTTCAATTTTTGATTTCAAAAGCTATCAAATACAGCTCGGATGAGAAATCAATTTTCCCAGCTGCCCTGGCTTTGTGGTGAAAAGAACTTCTTCCATTGGTGCAAAGCCCGTCACATGACCGAGTAAGGGATTAGTTCAGTAGGCCCACGTTGCCGCCAGCTCAATTACATTCTGCCTCTTGTCATTTACCTCTATAACATCTCATTTTTAAACAGTACTCATATTTAATTCATGAAACCGTGCAGAAGAGTAATTTTAATATAGATTGTTGTTGGAAAAAAATTGACCAAATTTAGACCACAACCTTTCATTTTGCATGCCAACAACAGTGATTGTGTCATTTGCTGTAATTTGGGAAAAACAAAGATGGACCAGTGAATTTCTAATGTTGGTCTGATAAAATCCAAAGTTTATGAAAACATTATTGTAGTATAAGTAAGTATATCCTTTAAAAATGATCAAACAAGCAATATTTTTTTCTCAACAGAATAATCCATGAAAAAAAGGACCATGATGAAAAGTAGCGACCATCATCAATGGCATTATTAGAGCTGCATCAGTCATCTGAAAAGGTTAGTGGGCAATGCCAAAAAAATTTTTTCTGTTCTTGTATAAAAGTCTCATTTATTCACAGTTGGGATGCTAACCAGCGATAAATTTGACACGTAGAACTTATTGTGTGTTATCCTGTTCACATATGAAAAGGATAACTGAATGTTTAATTAAGCCATAGACTTCACAAAATACACACGTCTGTGGTGAATGAGTATAATACAAATATCTTCGGCCAAATAATTAACCTAGGACAACATTAGCTCGACAAAAAATTCAAAGAATTTAGGACTGTGTGCAAGTACATTTTTAATTCCCAAGACTTTTGTTTGGAAATTTGAATCCATTCCAACATTTCTTGATTCAAACGTAACCTATTTTCCTTTGTACCACACTAATTGACATTTTTGGAAATAATCAAATAATCTCCTTTTTTCATGTGGATCATTTCATGAAACGAAAAGTAAAGCAGAGGCAATTTTTGGACATATCATGAGATTGTATCCGCTTGACAGTTATTCTATGTGGTTTCCATGACAACTGTTTCAGTGAGGCCTCCAATAAAACCAACCTCAGCTGTCATCTCTTCACCTAAAAGCTTTGTAATTGCTCTCATTTGCATACTACAATTAAGTGTGTTAGCTCACAGCAAGAACAATCAACCTCCACTAAAGACCGGGAATAGTATAATTATTATATCAGTGGATTTGTATAAAATATCACTGAAGAGCCTTTGTTTGACGTCGGCGTTGCACTGGCTAGATTTATCATTTATTTTCATAAATATACATATTTCACAGACCGTGATCAGCAATGCACAGGCATGCTGGTTGAAATGTTGTGATTACCATTTTCAATCAGAATTTCAATATTGTCTTACGATCATTTAGAAATGGCAGCTTTGTTCCCAGATGATCATTTAGTTTCCTGTCTGTTGGTCAGAACTGTGAAAGAATTTTTCATCCATTTTTGATAGGAGGCTTTTTGACTCAGTGGTGCACTTGACTAGCTAGAAACAGAATGATTTGCAGTAGTGGGAGACAGTTTGAACTGCTGATTGAATGGAAAGGTTATGTGCATTGAGCTCCGAGCATTGTTTCTCTTTCCCTCAGATGCGCAGAGGCTGTAATGAAGAGCTCTTGAACTCGTAGTCAGAGAAGCTGTGACAGGAGTTCAGAAAGATGCCTCTTTCAGCTGGAAAGAGGTCGTCAGCTGGACGTGCGACACAAACACACACACCAGGACACACTTTGGCGCACATACACCGACACACAGCAAAGAGACAGCAACAAACGGCTTGTACAGAAATAAAATTGAAGCTGTCACTCATATGTTGAGTCACTATCTATTCACACTATGTGTCCGATGTCCAATCTTTTACTTATATGGAAAAATATCAAAAATCTGCCTCTTCGCTTCTGCTCTTTTATTTTCTGTTTTCCTGAATATTATTTGTTGTCAACCGCTTTGACTTGAACTCAGGTTACAAACTTAATAGGATCATGGAGGCATAACTTTTGAGTTTGTGTGCTATAAAAGCGACGGTGGCCATGCACATCTTTGGGATGGTACATTTTATTTGGAGTTTTTGCCTTCGGGCCCTGCATTGAAATGGAAGACCAAATGGCACAAATGGCAAGTGCACCATTCCGAGCTCTCTGCAGCTTCCCAACACAAACTGGTCAAGCAGAAATGAGACCTGCATCAATTTTAATTTGTATTTATCCTGCTGATGACCCGCTCTTTTCACTCTGCAGTCGGAGCCACAAATTACACCCATCATAGCTGTGATTCTGACGGCCCGTGGTGTGCTATCAGAAAATGAGCACGGCTCTGTACCTACGGCAGGTTCAAGGTGTCACAACACAATTATACAATCATGCAACCTGACGAGCTCTGACTGGTCGCCGTTGTATGACAACTAAGCTGGAGGGCCACGCTGTCTGTCACAGCCAGCCGGGTAAGATAAGTTCACTGGAGAGTAGACCGGGCCTCAGAGACTGCTTTGCTCTATCTAAATCAGTTAAATATCACACAGCTGCTGCAGTCTGAGGGTGGGGGGCTATAATGCCCCAAAACGCAACTTATCTCTGACTTGTCAGATTTTTGTGCAGCACATCAAATTGAGCCTCCAGGATTTTTTAAAAAGAGAGAGGAAAAATATAAATCAAAGCTATATAACATTAGCAGACTGTGTATCATTAATGTAATTAAGTTATCAATGAGGAAGGTTCAAAGCTGCATTCGCACTGCGGTGCTGTTCAGCAGCCCACTGTGACTTTCAATCAACCCTAATCCGTGTGTCTCATAAAACTTGGACCAAAAAAATGAAGGGAAGCTCCCCAGCCTGGATCCCCAGTGTGATCTCAGTGTCAAGCCATTAGGCTGTGTGAAATGAGGTGCCACTCATGAGTTATAATGCTGCACATCTATAGATGCGATGGTAAAATATATCCCTCCAATGCTCAGTCCTCTGTTGGAGGAATTCTGCTCTGATAGGGGTCCATCTCCCAATATCCCAAATTCAAAGTCACAAAGATATGAAGAGGGTTGTTGGACAAATTTAAAATAATCCACTTCAGGATAGCTGGGACATTAATGGAAAAATGTGTGTGTTCGCTTGTGTGTCTTTCTGCACAAGCAAACGTGTACGTGTGCGAATGCAGACTGATGAATACATCAACAAAACTTTTACATAATGGAGGATGATATTCCTAATAAGATTATCCACCTCAGAGATGAAAGGAAAAGACACGCGTGAGAGTAAGAAGGATGAAGGATGAAAATAAGCAAACTATTCTTTTAGAGCCACTGGGACTTTGAATACGAGCTTTGAGAAAATCTATTTTGATATAGAGTTGTATTCATTGTATTCAGTTTCAAAGCACGGCAACAGAAGGCACACGTCTCTTTAACCAGTTGCTACATCATTTCAATAAATTCAAGTTATTCTGACTACTTCTATACTTAAAGGCACACAGAAAAATCTACTGAAATATTTACCCGGAGGTAATGTAGATGTAAAAAACGGTCGGGAAATAAAGCTAATAAGTGTCACTTTGATATGACAACAAATTATACATGCTTCTATCAGATCTCATTTCCATTCCACAACACGGACACAGAGAATACCCTGAAGCATGGCTGTTAATGGGAGCCTCTATCAGCCATCGTGGAAAACCCGCCTCATTACTCACTCCAGCACAACTGTGCCCAGGGTGGTTGATTTCCCCAACGGACACTGGTTCACAGACCGGAGAGGCACTGCGAGGCGTACGACTTGTTTTTCAATGCGCAGGCCACAGATGTCGTCATGCTGCAAGTGTGTGAAATTGTTCTTTCAGGAAATTAATTTAAGCTAAAAAAAAAAAAGAAAAAAGATAAATTAAAGGAGAATTCCAAAATATTACATTTGTAAGCTCTATTTTGTTGTTGGGTCAAAGCATTTCTATTTGGGCTACAGAAACATGCCCTATGTAGCTATAACCAGCTACCACTGATCTTTGTTTTCATCATACGTCTGATGCTCTGCAACCTGATTGTTATTCAGAGAGAGTTCTTCATTCGGGTGGACGCCAAATACTCACATAACCTTCTATCCCTTCCAACCTGTGCAATGAATATTTTAAAACCGTAATGTGTATTGGCCTGTGTGTGTTAGTCTTTTCTTTGTCCATGTAATCTCAGGGACCCCTTTCCTACCGCTGTGGTTGTAAGAATGTTGTCACTCTGCTTATTTTTCTTCTTGCACCCCTCATCTGTCAAAAGCAAACATCAACAGTTCCTCTGCTATTTACTTATTTTCTTGTTCGCTCTCTTCCTGCAGTCTCCCTCGCTGCCCGCTAGACTTACTGTAGATCCTCGGCACGTAAATCTGTGAAAATGAAGAGATTATCGGCCCTGTTGCTTGGTGACCCCGATCAGCATAAGCAAGTAAGAGCAGTGAAAACATAGGAGGGATGAAGTCCTGGAGAAGTCGCTGACCCTCTGGTGACTCTTTCACCCAGAGGGGAGGCAGCAGCACTTGCTGTGTGTGTTTCAGTGCAATCTGTGGAGCAGATGGCTGGAGTCCTGGGCAGAGAGCAGCAGGTCTCAGCCTGCATGTCAGCAAGATGATGTGAGCTGGCTCCCTCCGAGCTTTAGTTAATACCTTCCTGTATCACAGACTTGTTAAGGGTCTGGGCAAAACTCACCAGCTCTTTACAAAGCAGTCTCTCTCACTCTCTCTCGCCGGGTTATCTTTCTCTATGCATACACACATCTCGATATTGGGGTTGATGTAGTCTTTATCCAAATATATGTAGATATATAGTAGATTACTGTTCATGGATACAATAAATCAAATGGTTTTTGTTAATTAAGCTAATTAAATACCATGAAATACACTGTCATGCTGGCATACAAAATTCTAAAACTAGCACTAAACATTCAATCTCACTGATTTCCAACAATGGCAAGAGACATTGATGGGATAATGTGACATATGGGCATAGAGATGTAAAGAGATTTGATATGACTGAATGACATCCCCTTAAACTGCACTGTCCACCAGTAATAATTGACTTCAGTGTTTCCCTAATGTGTGGAAATGCCGCTTGCTAAGTGATTTTAACTTTCATTGTGAAGTTTCTGGTTATTAGGAAATTGTTCAAAAAAAAACAGCAAGGTAGATAAATATTTGTTTGACTTTTGTCCCCCCCTCCGCTTCCCGCACCAGGGCTTTAATCTTGGTTACTGGCAGGTAAAGAGGGCGAAGCGTTGCCTTGTGAGGTGTGAGGGTTTGCTGCCTTTCCTCCTATCTCTCTGTGTCCCTCCTCATATTATATAAAGAGTGGCAGCAGGCAGAGTGACAGACTGCCCCAAGAGATGACACCTGTCACCGAGGGGAGTGCTGCTAATCTACAAGCCTCATTTTGTTTGAACTCTTTGTCACCTTGCCGTCAAATCCTCATCTTCTCAGTCACTGCCAGCTTCTCTCCGCTCTGCTTCTTTGCTTTTCCCAAT